TGCGCGCGCGTGTGGGCGCGCGCGTGCGCGCGTTCGTGTGCGCGTGCGCGTGTGCTTGCGCGCGCGCGTGTGCGTGCGCGCGCGCCTGCGTGCGCGTGTGCGCGCGCGTGCGCGCGTGCGTGTGCATGTGCGCGCGGGCCTGCGCGCGCGTGTGCGTGTGCGTGTGCGCGTGCGTTTGCGCGTGCGCGTGGGCGCGCGCGTGCGCGGGCGCGCGCGCGTGCGCGTGCGTGCTTGCGCGCGCGCTTGAGGCCGGTGTTCACGACGTGCCGTCGACGGCAACACCACATCGCTCACCCTCCGGATCCTCGCCTCCGGCCCCTGTCCGCGGCGTACCTTTTCCTGCGCAAGCTCTTCGGCGCCGCCTGGGCCCCGCCCACTTTGGCCGCCTGAGGCCCCGCCTGCCTGTGCCCTGTCTCCCTGATTAAGCTGCGAGTAGCCCGCCTAGCTTTTAGCGGAAGAGGTCCGCTCTCGCCCCGACGACCAAAAAGTGCGTGCTTGCGCGCGTGCGCGTGCGCGTGCGCATGCGCGTGCGTGAGTGTGTGCGCGTGCGTGAGCGCGTGCGTGCGCGTGCGCGTGCGCGCGTGCGTGTGCGTGCGCGTGCGCGTGTGCGCGTGCGTGAACGCGTGCGCCTGCGTGTGCGCGTGCGTGCGCGTGCGCGTGCGCGTGTGCGTGCGCGTTTGCGCGTGCCTGTGGGTGTGCGTGTGGGTGTGTGTGTGTGTGAGCGCGCGTGTGCGTGTGGGCGCGCGCGTGCGTCTACGTGTGCGTGAGCGCTGTTCGTGCGTGTGCGTGTGCGTGTGCGCGTGCGTGTGCGCGTGCCTGTGCGAGTGCGCATGCGTGCGTGCTCCTGCGTGTACGTATTCGTGCGCGTGTGCGTGTGCGTGCGCGTGTGCGTGTGCGAGTGCGTGTGAGAGTGGGCGTGCGTGTGCGTCTACGTGTGCGCGTGAGCTGTTCGTGCGTGCGCGTGTGCGTATGCGCGTGCGTTTGCGCGTGCGTGTGCAAGTGCGTGTGCGTGCGTGCGCCTGCGAGTGCGTGTGCGTGTGCGTGCGCGTGCGCGTGTGCGTGTGCGTGTGCGTTTGCGTGCGCGTGTGCGCGTGCGTGTGTGCGTGCGCGTGCGCGTGCGCATGCGTGCGCGCCGCGTGTGTGTGTGTGTGCGTGTGCGTGTGCGTTCGCATGTGCTTGCGAGTGCGCGTGCGCGTGCGCGTCCGCGCACGCGTGTGTGCTGGCGCGCTTGTGCGTGCGTGTGCGCGTGCGTGTGCGTGTGCGCGTCCGGCTGCGGGCGCGTGTGTGCGTGTGCGCGCGTGCGTGCGCGTGCGCGTGCGCCTGCGTGTGCGTGCGAGCGTGCGTGTGCGTGTGCGCCCTTCGTGAGTGTGCGTGCGCGCGCGTGTGCATGTGCGTGTGCGTGTGCGTGTGCGTGCGTGTGCGCGTGCGTGTGGGTGTACGCGTGCGTGTGCGTGTGTGCGTGTGTGCGTGTGCGTGTGCGTGTGCATGCGCGTGCGTGTGCGCGTGCGAGTGCGCGTGCGCATGCGCGTCCGCGTGAGCGTGTGCGTGTGCGTGTGCGTGTGCATGCGCGTGCGCGTGCGCGTGCGCGTGCGCGTGCGCGCGCGTGCGCGTGCGTGCTTGCGCGTTCTTGTGCGTGTGCATGTGCGTGTGCGTTCACGTGGGCGCGTGCACATGTGCGCGTCCGCGTGCGTTTGCGTGTGCGCGTGCGCGCGCGCGTGAGCGCTCGCGTGCGCGAGCGAGTGCGCGTGCGCATGCGCATGCGCGTGCGCCTGTGCGTGCGCGTGTGCGTGTGCGTGCGCGTGTGAATGTGCGTGTGTGCGAGCGCGTGCGCGTTCGCACGCGTGCGCGTGAGAGTGTGCGTGTGCGCGTGCGCGCGCGCGTGCGCGTGCGCGTGCGCGTGCGCGTGCGCGTGCGCGTGCGCGTGCGCGTGCGCGTGCGCGTGCGCGTGTGTGCTTGCGCGTTCTTCTGCGTGTGCATGTGCGTGTGCGTTTACGTGGGCGCGTTCACATGTGCGCGTCCGTGTGCGTTTGCGCGTGCGCGTGCGAGTGTGTGCTTGTGTGTGCGCGTGCGGGTGCGTGTGTGTGTGCGTGCGTTTGCGTGTGCGTGTGCGTGTGCGTGTGCGCGTGCGCGTGCGTGTGCGCGTGCGCGTGTGTGCTTGCGCGTTCTTCTGCGTGTGCTTGTGCGTGTGCGTGTGCTTGTGCGTGAGCGCGTGCGCGCGTGATCGTGTGCTTGTGCGTTTGCTGTGCGTGTGCGTTTGCGCGTGCGTGAATGTATGTGTGCGCGTGAAATTCTCGAGCCAGCGCGCAAGGGCCCCAGTGGGGCACAAATATCTGAGCGAAAGTGGCTGGCGCGGAACAAGGATCTTGGGGCGAGGAGAGCGGCACTGCGGGCACATGCCCGCGCCAGGATCAGTCAGGTGCGAATCGGGAAATCGGATCGGATCGGAACATGCGTCGCATCGTCGCATCGGGCCGCATCGGCACGGAGTCGGGATCGAATCGCATCGGCCGCGCCAGGATGCACAACAGCGCCATGCAAGCTGCAAGCATAGGGCAACATCGGATCGCCAGAAAATCGAGATCGAAATAGACTCGAATCGGATCGATCAAATCACCATGGGCCCTGTGTCGTGATTTTCCACAGCGTGGCTCTCCGCTGGTCTGTACCCCTTCTCAAAGACCAGCTTCTCATCTTCCGCACTTCTCTTACGGCCCCGAAAAAAACCTGAACGGCCCCCCGGAGGCTGAGACCTGCACAAAAAAAAAACATATGTGGCCACGAGGGCCTCCCAGGAGGCCCTCCACAAAACGAAGACGAGGAAAGGTTGTGGCGGTAGGGGCGCCCTGCCCTCCTCGGAGGAGGAGGCTCCGGAGGCCGAAGCCTGCCAGAAGCCTTGCGCCTTGATTTCCTCACGGCGCGGGCATGCCATGGGCCCCCCACCACGGCGGCGCCTCCCGGAGCCACACCAGCACCCGGGCGTCGTCGCGGCCCGCCTGGGAGAGGCGGACGACGCTCGCGTGCCCCGCCCCCCCCCCCCCCCCGCCGAGGGAGAGGAGGAGGAGGAGGAGGAGGGAGGAGGAGGAGGAGGAGGAAGAGGGAGGAGGAGGAGGAGGAGGATGAGGAAGAGGAGGGAGGAGGAGGAGGAGGAGGAGGAGGAGGAGGAGGAGGGAGGAGGAGGAGGAGGAGGAGGAGGAGGAGGAGGAGGAGGAGGAGGAGGAGGAGGAGGAGGAGGAGGAGGAGGAGGAGGAGGAGGAGGAGGAGGCGTGCCCCGCCACTCGGCGCCCGGAGGGCAACCGTCGGGGGGCGGGGGGCAGCTCAGGGGGGAGGGGGACAACATCAAGAGTCATCAGGGGGGCAGCGGGGCCTGGGGGATAGGGGGGAGCATCGAGCTGGAAGCGGCGACACATCGCCGATATGTAGATCTGCAGTGGGGCCCGGATTGCGGTTCCCCACGTTCCTGGGCGGGGTGGGCCATCGGTCCCCCATCGGCGTCGAGTGGGCGCGATAGGGGGTCGGTGCATCCCCCCCCTGAGCCCATCCCCCCCTAACGTTGCACGGCGCCCCGGTGTGCGGCACAAATTGGCAGACCCAGACCCCCTCGCGGCCCTCGCGTCGTGGCAAGAATCACGACGGATATTTTTGCTGACGATTTTCGGCCTCGCAAGGCCCTCGCCGGGCCAACAGACCGTCAAAGCCTGCTTGGGATGAGAAACTGGTTCCCAAGAAAGGGTCCAGACCTTTGGGGGTCCACGCCGCGAGCAAAAAACACGACGCGGGCCCTCAAACCGTCCCAAAAACGCTTCGGGATGCGATCCGCGCTGCAACAAAAAACACGACGTCGGGGGTCTGGAAAGCGAAAGGGCCGCACGCCCTTGCGCTGTCCCTGGGTGCGTGGCTGCAGTGCGGTGCCGCGGTGCGGTGCCGCGGTGAGGGTCCACCCCGCGCCCTGCCCTGCGACCCGTCGCGCGCCCGCCTCGCGACACGCCCGCAACCCGCCCCAACGACCCACCCGCGCGAGCCGCCGCGCGGTTCGCCCGCCGACGCGCCAACGACCTACACGCGACCCACCCGCACCGCTTTGAGCAAAAACTCGGCGCCCGCGGCAGGCTCGTCTGCAGCGGGCTTGCTCCTCACATCTGCCGTCGAGCCCTGCAAGCTGCCGACGACCCACCACCGCCCCCGCCCTGGTCTACAGCAGCGGGGGCTGCACCCCAGGTTTCGAAGCGCCGCGGAAGAACCACGGCGGGCCTCTGCGTTTTCGAGGCTCTTTGCGCCAGGGGGAACGCCCGCGGGCCCCGCGGGGCCCCGCAGGAGGTGGTCCGCGGCGCCGAGCTTGCGCCGGGGGATGGGGTATCGACACCTCCGGGTCTCACGTGCGGCGGCGTCGGAGGTTCAGCCCTGACCTCTCAGGAGGCACACACAAATCGTACGAGGACCTCTTCTGACCTCGACTTGCAGTCTAGGTCTCAAACATCCCCGACAGGTCCCCAAGCAAAGAGGGCTGTCTCCCAGCACCCTGAGAGGTCAGGAAGGTCCCTCGCCCTGCAGGCGAGGGGCAGACAACCCCCTCTCGCAGGCCAGGCCCCACCGCAGACTCGAAGCCTGACGCCCGAAAGTCTCCGCGCCGATGCTCCCCATCGCCTGCCGCCCAGGTATAGCTTCTCAGATGGCAGGCGGCCGTATCGCCCTCGCGGTCGACGCTGGCAATCAGCTGTCACCTCCTGCGGGCCTCCTGCTCTGCCATCATACTACCAGAAGGAAGGCTGAATAAGGAACGACTGGCCTTTTCTGGCCACGTCGAGACTCGTCCTCGAATAGGCTCGCCGACCTGGATCTCAGGAACGGCACCGAAACCAGGGCCTCATCTGAGCCCAGTGGTCCTTATTCCAGCGTCTTGACTGCAACCAGGTCGAGACGCCGAGCCGCATGCTCGAGATCCTAAGCGCAATTTCAAGCGGAAGCGAGGCGGGAGCGGACGCGAGCCGTTGCTTCTGCCGCTGCGGTGGGCGCGTGCATCGAGCCACATAGCGTTCCTAAACCCGCCGCCGCGCTCCCCGGCAAGCTGAGGCGTGGCAGAAAGCCGAGAGCTGCCTGGCATGATGGGCCTGTTTTCCACCACCACCACCACCAGAAGTTGGTGGTGGTGGTGGACGAGGAGGAGCAGGAGGAGGACGAGGACGACGAAGAGGAGGACGAAGAGGAGGAGGAGGAGGAGGAAGAGGAGGAGGACGAAGAGGAGGAGGAGGAGGAGGAGGAGGAGGAGGAGGACCCCCTCCCCCTCCAACTTGTGGTGGTGGTGGGAAACAGGCCCACCATGGCAGGGTTCCTGCACGGCCTCTGAGGGCCTCCCCCCTCTCTCACGCAGCGGCGCGTGCGCCGCCCCGGCCTCCCGAGGCTCCCCGGGCGGCCCGGCGCGCCCCTGGTGCTCTCCAGAGCTTCCCGGGGCGGCCCGAAGAGGCCACGAGGGCCGCCCAGGTGGCCCGGCAGTGCCCGAGAGGCGCCCCACAGCCCCGCAGGAGAGCCGAGATGCTCCAAAGAGGGCCCAGGAGGCTTCCAAACCATCAAGGAGGAGGCCGGGAGGACCCAGAAGACCAGGAGGGCCTCCAAGGAGGCCAGGATAACCCCTGGGAGGCCACGTAGCCTGTGTTGCACATGTAGATGCATATGTAAACCGATCTACATGTAGATCCTACTTCCACGTCCCAATCTGCTCCTCTCCCTCACGAGAGGCTGGTGTGCCAAAGGGGGGCTGCCAGCGGAAGACCCCCTCAACCCGAAAGCCTCTGCGCCAGGCCAGGGGCGGCAGCACGAACGCAAGTCCGCGTACACATTAATGTACGCGTCCTTGGCCTCTTGGCTCAGGACGGTGCCGAGGGGGCCTCGGCGGAGACAGAGAGAGAGAGGCCAGCAAAGCCCAATGAGGGCCTACTAGAAGCTCCACAGACGGCCCAGGATAGCTTCAAGACGGTTTTAAGACGGCCCATGAAGCATAGAACAGCCCAAGATGGCCCGAGCAGGCCCCAAGAGGCTCCCAGGACAGCTCCAAGTGACTCCCCAGAAGCCCCAAGCCGATCCAAACGGTCCCAAGAGGACCCCGAGAGGGCCCAAAGAGGGTCCCACGGGAGCCCAAAACAGCTCCAAGTCGGCCCAGGTGGCCCCAATGCAAGCCCATCAATGAATAGAGGCGAGCGGTTGGTCTGAATCACATGTTGCGGCATTTGGGGTGGTGCTCGAAACTTTGTCACGCCGAGTGCTGCGCTGGCAGGGTGGCGAGACTTGCCGCAGGCAGCTGGATATTGGGGCACATGGATTCTGTCGGCGGCGACGATAAGGGCGAATAGCCCAGGGGCGGGCATTACACGCATTCAACCGAGAGCCCTGTCGAAGACATGGATCATCGGCGCCCCTGGATACATGTACTGCTCTCCCCTGGGCTACTCGCCCCAGTCGTCGCCTCCGATTCTGTGACACATGGTGTAAATATGCGCCAACTGAAACTGGGCAAACCAAAAAGTACCGATACCACTACTCCGCAGGCCTCTCCCGGGGTGCGCTCTGACCAGGATCTCGAGGCGAACCCAGCGGTGGCGACGAGGGCCTCCCAGGAGGCCCAAAAAGGGGGAAACGGGCGAGGGGGTAGACGTATGGGTACCTTTCCTCCTCTGAGAAACTGCGTTCCGGCATCCTGTGATGGTCCTGTTTTCCACCACCACCACCATAAGTTGGAGGGGGAAGGAGGATGAGGACGAGGAGGAGGAGGAGGAGGAAGAGGAGGAGGAGGAGGAGGAGGAGGAGGACCACCTCTCCCCCCAACTTGTGGTGGTGGTGGTGGTGGTGGAAAACAAGCCCAGCATCCTGCTTCCGGGGCGAAGCACTCCCGGCAGCAGACACGACTGCGGCGGCCCCAGGCGCTCCGCCGGCCGCCACGGCTCGAGGCGCCGGCCGGGGCCACGGCAGGCCGCGGCGCTCGCGTCGGGCAGCACGCGGCCAGCGGTCGACCAGTAAAAGGACCGAGCCTCAGGTCGGGCGTGTCCCCCTGCAGACGGACTCTGGACGATAAATGTTATGAAAAACAAAAACAACTAAAAGTAAGCATTGAAACAAAACGATACATATGTAGATATATATATATATATATACATATACATATACACATGCATATATATTATATATATAACAAAACAATCATCCCCATGCTGTTTTGGGGACTAACCCCAGGAAGCTGTTACGTTTGAACATCCCCCCTGTAGAGGGACAGGCCCGACGGAACCCGAGCCCTGGCGCCACCCGGGCCCGAGGCCTCGGCCTGCCGGGCCGGCCTGCAAACGGAGCGCGCGGCCCCTCCGAGCAGGCCGCGCGCCTCTCTCGGCCTCGCCGGGTGCTGGCGGAGGCGCCCCTGTAGGGGGCCGCATGCGAACCCTGCCCTGGACCTCCGACGCATTAAAAAATCAAGGCGGAAGTTTTTCTCGACTTTCGGCCGCTGGCGGCCCTCGCCGGGCCCCGGGACCGTCACAAAACGACTCAGGATGAAAAGCCGGTCCTGGGGAATGATGGGTCGAGACTTCCGGGGACCCCGCATTGAAAAAATCACGACATCGGATCTCTGGGACCCCTACCCCCCACGATTTCTGAGGGGGGGGTGGGGTTCGCGAGGTGAAGAACCCCACCCCACCCCTCAGAAATCGTGGGGGGTATAGGGGTAGGGTTCGCATGTGGCCCCCTACCCTGGCCCAGGGGTGCCCCCAGGACTTCCAAGGGGGCGCCCACTGGAGGTCCAAAAATCCGCCCCAAGAAGAACCACCCCGACACGCGAAGTCGATCGGCAGACGCGCCCAAAGAAGGAATCGAAGAGGGCAGGGCTGTTCAGTAAACGCCCAGGGCCGCCTAGCAAACGCCAATTGTCCGGTCCGGGTGGTTCTGCCTCCCTTGACCCACGGACCCCAGAGCACTCCCTCACGAGGCCCAGAGGGCCTCGGCGACTCCGAACTTGGAGCGAGAAGCTGGGGACACCCTGGGACCCTGGGACAGGGACACCTCTGGCCGCCCCCGAGCCTAGGGGAAGGCTGCGCTGGACTACACGGACCGCTCCCGCCGAAGGCTGCGCGGCCCTCGGCCAGACGCGCAGTGGCTGGGCCCTCGCCGCCGCTCTGCTCAAAGAGCGCCTGGGGCCCGCAGGGCGGCTGCGCGCAGGCAGGAGTCGGCACCTGGAGCAGGCGCAGGGCACATTGGCGGCGCGCACCAGGGGGCGGGAGGAGGGGGGAGGGCTTCTTAGAAGGAGGCTGCTTCTTAGAAGGCGCCGGCCTTACATCTATAGAGAAGGCCCGCGCCTTCTAAGAAGCAGGGGTGCTTCTAAGAAGGCCTCGCCCCTCCCCCCACCCCCCTCTGCGCGTGGCTGAGTACAGGCAGAGGGGTCGCCCGAGGTGGGCCGCGTGGCCGCTGGGCACCGCTCCTGGAGCCCCTCGATCCGAGCGCACAGCGCGGTCGGATCATGAGGCTGCGCGCTACGGATGCAGGCCGCCTGGACGCCGCAAACTGAGGCCGAAGCCGGAAGCCCGTCCAGGGAGCACTGCGTAAACCAGGACACACAGGAGCCTTCGTAGGTCCGCGCGGATTCCTTGGACCAGCGTAGCACCCCGCCTCCGGAGCCGCCACTGGCGCGCTCCGCGCGCCAGGGAGGGGGCCATCACCGATCCAAGAAATCCGCGCGGAACTCCGATCGTTGATGTATGTGCCGTTTGGTCTTCGTCGATGGCCAGGATGGGCCGAGGGCAACGATGCAAAAGGCACCCTTGGAAAATGACTCATCCTCATGATGCGGCCTGACCGTGCACACCTCCTCACGTCTTGCTTCTAGCTTGCGGTCGTGCCTAAGCCCAGGCTCGGGGCCGCCTAGCCCTTGGGCAGCTCCCAAAAGGTGTCGCCCGTCTCCTCATTGAGGTAGTACCACTCGCCAGGGGCCTCCGGGTGCTCCAGGAGGCGGTAGGGAGACGGCGGCGTGGGCGGCATGCCCGGCGCGGCGTCGTCGTCGGGGAGCTCCCACGTGGTGACGCCGGTCTCCGTATTTCGGCTACACGCAAGAATGACCCTAGGCAGGAGTGGCTTTCTGTACGCGGGGGCCGCGGGGGGAGGGCTTTGGGAGGGGAGGGGGGGCGGGAGGGCAAGGACAGGCGCGCAAGCCGCTGCTATCCCGTCGCGCTCGGCGATCGGGAGAGCCCTGTGATGGGCAGGGACCGACCGTCCCAGCAGTCTTTTAGGCCTACCGCGAGATGTTCTCAGAACAATCGTGTGCTCGCAAACAGAAACAGTGTTCTTAGGACAGAAACCGACGTTTTGAAACAACACTGTCTCAGCCAGACATGTCCTAACACCATCCCGTACAGACCACAACAGGGCTCGTAGCACACTCTGCGGTGGGCCGATGGGCAGGCCAGGACGCTCCGCCACCCCCTGCCCAGTGAGCCCGCACCACAGGCAACTCTGGCGAAGGGCCACTCTGGACGCGCAGCCGAGCTTCAAGTAGTACCACTCCCCCGGCGCGTCCGGGTGCTCCTCCAGCCGCCACGGCGCCGGCGGCCTCGGCGGCCCCCTGCCCTCCGCCGTGGCGGCGGCGCCCCCGGCGACGCCTCGCCGATCGGCGCCCGCGGCCTCCGCCCTGCCGCGCGGCAGGGCATCGCTGGAGGGGCTCGCGCTGCGCGCCCCGACGCTCGGGGGCCGGCGCGCCCCGCGCCGCTCCGGGGTGGCGCGCGCCGACGGGCGCGGCCGCGCGGCGGCGCGCGCCGGCGCCTGGCGCGGCGGGCTCGCCTGCCAGCCGGAGCGGCCGGGCGCGGGCTGGCTGTCCTGGCGGTCGAGGGCCGTCTGGTGGATCCAGCCGATCACGCCCAGCACTCTCCCGGCGGGGCCACGGACGTGCGCAACCGTCTCGGCCACCTCGTCCCCGTCGGGGGCCCACTCGTCGATGCGCACGCTGGTGCCCGAGCCTCTGCACAGGTCCTTGATGTTGTTCCCGCCCTTTCCGATGGTGATCTTGGCGAGCCACCTCTGCACGAGCAGCCTCACCTGCAGCTCCTGGTCGCCGCGGGTGCCGCGCTCGAGCTCGGACAATACCTGATGGATGGCGTCCCGCAATGACCTGCCCGAAGACGACGAGATCCTTAAGGCCCGCGAGTCCGGGTCGTGGTCGCGGAGCTTGGGCGGCTCGGCCTCGAATCGCAACCTGCCCGAGGACATCCGCTCGATCGGTCCCAGCGCGTTGGCCTCGGAGCGCGAGACGAGCAGCCCCAGCTCGCCGCCGGCCTCCCACGAGACCGGGAGGCTGCCCGGCAGCGGCCCCGTGCCGCGGCCGCCGGGCGGCCCCGCTGGCGCTGCCCCGCGCGCAGCGGCGCCGCCGTGAACTGGGCGCGGCGGCCTGGGGGGCAGCCGATCGCGGTTCCGCTGGATGCTCCTGCTGCGGCTCCTGCTGCAGCCCCGCCGCCGCGGCAACGAGCGCGCCGGCGGCGGCGGCCGCGCGGGCAGGCGCTCGCCCCGCGGCGTGCGCTCGGCGCCTCGGCTCGGGGGCGAAGCGCGGCGGAGAGCCAGCCGCGACGGGGAGGCGGTCTGCGCGCTGCCCCGCCGCCGCATGCGCGGCAGGGGCGGCCGCGAGTCCCCGCCGCCCTCGGGCGGCCGGGCGCCCTCGTCCAGGGCGCGCGCCCGGCCACCATCGCGGCCACGCTCACCGTCGCACGCCTCGCGGCCCCCTCCCGGGCTCCTGCTGCAGCGCCTGCCGCCGCGGTCCCCGCCGCGGAGGCCGCCGCGGCCGCCGTCGGCCGGCGCGCCGCGGGCGCCCCCGCGGTCGCCGTCGCGCCCGCGCTCGCGCCACGGCCCCGGCTGCGGCGCGCCACGGCGCCGTGGATCGCCTCTGCTCCGCGAGCCGCGCGAGCCGCTCCAGGGCCGGCCCCTGTCCCAGCGCTCGCGGGACGCTCGCCTGTCGGCTCCGCCAGCGGAGCCGTCCCGCTCTGGCCTGCGGCCCTGGGGCAGGATGCGCACGCTGAGCGCCCTGGGCCTGCTGGAGTCCTCCAGGTCGAGCTGGAACTCGACGAGCAGCCTCTCGCCCGCCTCGGGCCCGATGTTCGCCTCCGGCCCCGAGTCCGCGCAGTTCTTCGCGTGGAAGAAGACGTCCCTGTCCACCTCGTCGCAGATGATGAAGCCCCAGCCCTTCGTGTAGTTGAAGGTCTTGATGTACCCAGTGGCGCTCCCGCCGCGCGCGCCGCCCCTCCGCGGGGGCGCCATGCGGTGGGCTTCTGGGAGCGGGGGCCTACTGGCCGGAGGGCAGGCGCCGCGGCAGCATGCCTCCACGCGCAGCAGGGCCAGGCGCGGGCGTCGCCACCTGGCGGCCCCCCGCGAGCTCTCGAGCAGGGCCCGCCCGCCCAGGGACCGCCAAGCTGAGAGCCCTCCCGACCCCCGGCGGGCGCCCGCGTCTTGAGCCACCGCGCGGGTGAAGGGCGCCGGATCTCAGAAGCCAGCAGCATGCGCACACGCACACGGCCAGCTTCGGCTGGCCTGCGTTTGAGCGCGGCCTCCTGTGCCCGCGGGACCGCCAGGGGCGTACATGTCTACGTGTGGCTGTCGGCTCTCCATCCCTGTGACAGGGTCGAGGGGGGCCTCTGCTTCCCCGTGCGCGTTCCGCTCTCGGCGAGCGTGCGCAAGAAGCGCGTCGCGCACGATCCCATCACCGCGCCGAGCCCGCAGGAGCACCCAGGTCGTGACGCGGCGTCGATGTCGGTCGATCCCGACAGCGAAATCTGCGATGTGCGAGGACAAGCAAATAACCTCACAGATGCGGTCGTATCATTCGTCCCAGACGTGGCCTGGGGGGGCTGGCCGAAGGAACGCTGTCAAACCATCACCAGACAAAACGACTCCAAACAAGCACCCCCTCCCCCCCACATCCGCCACGATAACCTAGCAAAGCCACAATCGAGCTGACAGCATAACAAAATTGCATGTTGCCCAATCCAGCAGTTTACTTGTTTGGAAAGGCAAGCCTCTCTCAGGGACGTGGAC